CTTTTGTTCTTTCTTTCCTTCGTTCCTTCCTTCTTTCCATCTATCTTTCTTTCTTTTTCTTTCTTTCCCTTTGGCAAAAAAAGTATTTGTTATAAAGGAGTGAATCTATGAGATAAAATTAAACTAACCGATACATTTTTTTTTTAAAAAAAAAGAATGCCCCCGGTTTCATTTCTGCTTCAAAAGTGTTTTTAGATTTTGTGCTTGAGACAGAAAGAAATGAAATTGGGCCTTTGCTGATTAGATGGATTGGTTGCTGTAGCAACGGGCTAGTGTATATTAAGTATGCAAAAGTGAACAGCTGAGGCTGTCACATTACTATCTTTATTTTATTGCTCTGAACAGTGTTGGGAGATAAGACTGTTTTTTAAAAAAATTATTTACCTTTAACCCACTGTTCTGCCTTTCCCCTGTTCTCCCTGTTTTTATTTCCGCAGGTATTTTATACTGTGCTAACTTTAAGGAAAATAATAATAATAATAATAATAATACTAATAATGGAATGAATTGAAAAAAGAAAAAGGATACTCCAGATAATGGCCACCTAGATCTATTTCTTTCTCGTGGGATTTCCAAAGGCCCTAAATAAATTAACTCTTTCCCTCATAATGCACTAACTTCCTTAAACCGGATCCTTTATTTGCAGGGAAGATCCAACTTCTCCTCTTGAGTAGGTTAAAAGCAATCTCTCTCAGAGAGTGGGAGAAACACCTGAGTTTGAATTTGATCCCTCTCTGACTTAGAAACTAAAGCTTGAGAATATATTAGCCATGATGAGAGAGAGAAAAAAACGCTTGCTGGAAAAATTACTGGTTTATTTCTTCGTCTTAAACTGGTTTCTGCTGGGCTTGCCAGCATGGCTTCCGTAGACCTTCCCTCTACAGACCTCTGTCTGAAGTGCTATAGGATCTCCTGCTTGAGGTGGACTAGAAGACCTCTTAAGATCCCTCCCAGCTCTCTTCCGATTCCGACGTTCCAATAGAAGAGGATGTTCGTAGCTCAGAATTGAACCACGGGGTCCTTGGTGCTCTCTGAGCTTGGCTGTTTTCTTGCAGACGTTTCGTTACCCAGTTAGGTAACATGATCAGGGCTACGAGGGAGAGGGGATCGCGGGGAGGACTGTGGGGTCCTTGGTGCTGTTTTGAGTTTGGTTGGCTGTTGTTGTTGTTTTCTTTGCAGACATTTCGTCACCCAACTAGGTAACATCATCAGCGCTAAAAGAAAGCGGGGTTATATTGTGTATAAACAGAGCAACCCCCCCTCGCTTCTAGCACTGGTGATGTTACCTAGTTGGGTCATGAAACGTCTGCCAGAAAACCACCCAGTTCAGGGAGCAGCAAGGACCCCACAGTTCTCCTCCTCCTCCTCCTCCTCCTCCTCCTCCTCCTCCTCCTCCTCCTCCACTGCACAAACCCTACCTCCCTTCTAGCATTGATGATGTTCCCTAGTTGGGTCATAAAACGCCTGCAGTGAAACAACCCAGCTCAGAGAGCCCCAAGGACTTCACATTTGTCCAATCGTTAGCTAAAGACGCCCAAGGGCTGGAAGACACATGGCCTAGCTATGACAAGCTGCCTTCAGACACTTCCGTCTTTCCTTCCTAGTCCTCAAATTACGACAGAAATTTCTGTTGTTGCGTGAGCCCAACATTTCTGTTGCTCAGCGAGACCTTGTTAAGTGCGTTTTGCCTCATTTTACCACCTTCCTCGCCCCAGTGGCTTCAGTGAATCACTGCAGTGGATAAGTTGGTAACCCCCGTTGTTAAGTGAATCTGGCTTCCCAGTGATGGCAAAACATTTTGTTGTGGTGTGCTGAAAGTGCGTGTGCGCCGGCACCCACAATACAATGCGCCCTGCCCTCCTGCGCATGCGCATGCAACCCCACCCTGTCCCTTTACCTGCACTGCGCATGCGTGTGCCTCCCAGCTGATTTTCGGCCCATTTGAGGCTGTTTTCGCCTTCTGGGAGGCTCACGGGAAGCCCCGCAGGCCTTGGGAGGCTGAAAAATGGGCCCGTTTTGTCACTTCTGG